TGGGATTAGAAGGTAGTTGACATCTGGCCTTACTCCTCAGCAAAATGGAGTTGCTGAAAGAAAAAATAGGACTGTCATGAAGATGCATGGTCAGGTGCTCAATAAAGGATACTAAGTTACCATCATTCTTCTGTCCAGAAGCAGTGGATTTGGCTTCACATGTGCTCAAAAGAAGTTTAATCTCTGCTAATGATGGCAAGACTCCACAAGAAGTATGGACGGGAAAACAAGAAGCAAGACTCCACAAGAAGTCATGAGGCTTTCAAAAGAATCCAAAACATACAACTCTATGATCCTGACTCAAAGAAGATCATCATTAGCCGAGATGTTATCTTCAATGAGAAAGAGTTGGAAGTCTGATACATAGTTAGTAAAATACGGTACGGGAAAGTTACGTAAAAGATACGTACGGGTATTATACTTCATCTCTAAGCTAAAGTTACGTTTAATAGTACATTAATAGTCATAAATATATAAAATTAATTATTTTAAAAATAAATAAATATATAAATAATAGTAAAGTTAACAATTTAAGCGTAAAATACGGATAATAAACGTGTTATACGGGTTTTATACGTGTTTAGTACGGGAACCATGAAATGAACAGGGAAAAATGAAACGGCCTGACAATAATACGGATACGGAAGTTTTAAATGGATAAAGTACGTACGGGTATATATACGTGTATTAAACGGAGTATTTACTAACTAGTGATACTCAACCTGTGCTGCCACAACTAATCTGGGAAGGTAGCAATGATGACTGGTATGATTAAGAAGAAGAAGAAGAAGATGAGGAGACGGATAACACTGAAGAAAATGCAGAAACTGAAGCTCCCCACACCCCAATTCCAGACACTGGTAGTTCTTCTGCAGCAGTCACACCTCAATTACAGACTGCTCCAAAATAAGAAGCCAATGTTGATACTCTAGGCCTGCCAGCCAGTGGTACAAGTGGTGAAATGGAACCCAGAATAAGAAGGTTTCCAAGAAAATATGGCAGTTTTGATTATGTAGGAATGCCTAACACTGCAGGACCATCAATAGACAATGAAAATCTATTTACTAAAATGGATTGGTTGGCACTGGTGGCAGTTTCTGGAGATCCTCTTACATTTGAAGAGGTTGTGATGGAAACAAAATGGAAAGAAGCAATGAAGCTCGAAATTGAAGCCATCAATAGGAACCACACATGGATTCTCACAGAAAGACCAACTTGATTAACTCCTATTGGTGTCAAATGGGTCTTCAGGACCAAACTGAAAGAGGATCGGTCCATTGACAAGTTCAAAGAGAGATTGGTGGCAAAGGGCTACGCCCAAAGGTATGGAATCAATTACAATGAAGTGTTTGCTCCTGTTGCTAGATGGGATACCATAAGAACCTTTTTGGCTCTAGCTGCTGGTCATGGTTTAACAATATACCAATTAGATGTAAAATCTTCTTTCTTACATGGTGAACTTGTTGAGGATGTGTATATTGAGCAGCCACAAGGGTTTGAGATACCAGGGGAAGAACACAAGGTTTACAAGTTGTAGAAAGCCTTGTATGGCTTAAAGCAAGCTCCCAGGGCATGGTTTAGCAAAATTGAGAGTCATTTTATTGCTTTTGGATTGACAAGTGTGAGTTAGAGCAAACACTGTATGTGACAAAAGTAGGGGCTGATGTGTTGCTGGTTAGTTTGTATGTTGATGATCTAATGTATGCCAGTACTAGCCCTACTACGTTGGGAAGATGAAATACTTCCTAGGAGTTGAGGTAACATAGTCATCTACTGGCATTTTTTTATCTCTCAACAGAAGTATGTGAAGGAGCTACTGGACAAGTTTCATTTGACAGAATGCAACTTCGTTCACAACCCAATGGTTCTTGGCACCAAGTTGTCAAAAGAAGGTGATGGAGTTCAAGCAAGTCCAACGGAGTAAAAGCAACTTATTGGAATTTTGCTTTATGCTACTGCTACAAGGCCTGATATTATGTATGCAGTATGTGTGTTAAGCAGATACATGGAGAAGCCTACTAGACAACATGTTCTAGCAGTAAAGAAAGTCCTCGAATATCTAAAAGGCACACTGCACTATGGAATCTGGTATAAAAAAACAAGAACAAACATACTGTCTTCTAGGATATACAGATAGTGATTTTGCAGGGGATGTGGACAATAGAAAGATAACTTGTGGCTATATGTTCTTTCTTGCAGGAGGAGCAGTTTCTTGGAGCTCAAAGAAACAACCAGTAGTGACTTTGTCATCAACAGAAGCTGCATTTGTGGCTGCATCATCTTGTGCTGCACAATGTGTTTGGATGAGAAGGATCTTGAACCAGATGGGTTGGGTTGATGAGGAAGCAACACTGATCATGTGTGATAGCAGCTCTGCTATCAAACTATCCAAAAATCCAGTGCTATAGGGTCGAAGTAAACACATTGATGTAAGATTCCATTTCTTAAGAGAGCTTGCTAGAGCTGGAACCATTGAGTTACAACATTGTGGCACCATAGAGTAGGTGGCAGACATAATGACAAAGCCCTTGAAATTGGAAGCATTTCAGTTGCTTCGCAGCAAGCTCGGTATGATCGATGGTAGTGAGCTGCAGTAATGGTTTGATGAAGTGTACTGAAAAACCTTGGCGAAGGTTTTTTCAGTTCAAGGGAGGTTGTTGAAGAAAGGCGGGCGGTTCTTCTCTTCAGAAGATAGCCGTTGGAAAGTAGCCGTTATGGTTTATTTATCTCTGAGCCGTTGGAAAGTAGCCGTTCTTCTCCATCTGTAAGTGTTGGCTTAGTTAGAGTTAATAGCAGAAAGATAGAAGAGTTTGTTAGTTGTTGCTAGAGTCCTGGATCTATGATTCTTCTGTTAGTGAGTGGCCGAACTTCATCGTGCTCACTCATGTATTTAAACTCTTTGATTGAAAATAAGAAAGCTCGTCAGTTTGGTTTCAATTGCACTATCAATCTTGTCATTAATTATCGTAATTAGAGGTTAATTGGATGCATATGTGCCTTATAATTATGTGCGTAGTTTGTATAATAATGTCGTTGGAAAGAAAAGAGAGTTTTGTACCTTTCTGTATACAGAAAAGCATCTGATTCCATTACTAGGACAGTGACAGATGTATACTTAAGAAATAGACTATCTATTGGCTCTATTGCCATGCATTTGGCCATTCTAAGGACCTAATCTACAATTAATACTAGATAATTATATGGGTAGCTAATAAGCAAAATGAGAACTTCTATGATCATGGGTTAAAGAAAACAAGTTTAAGAAACGTACCCTACTTTCTCTTTCTGAGATATTCTCGGTCCAAAACTTGAACTTTATAGACATCATTTTCGAAAATTTATAAAATAATGCAGTACTGCTTCATTTAATCTTCGGTGGGGAACGGATCAGGTCAGTAACCTTATGGTGAGTAACCATGAGTAACCCGTCTACATCAGCATGACATCAGTATCTCTCTCCTGGAAAGCCTTTAATTTTCTCATCCTTAATCTTTAACGGACAATTTCTCACTCGTTTTAAGTCGAAATTTAATTTTTTTTTTGCACAGTTAGATCAGATTAATTGTGCTCTTCAAAATGATATCCACTTTGATATATTTTTCGAACATAAAAATTGAGCCATTTTTTACCAGTCTATACCATATGATATTGACTGGTATTGAAATAAGAGCATACCTATGGTTTGAAAAGCGTACCATGGTGGTATGAACAAACCAAGACTGTAGGATGGTTGAATACATGATAGTAGAAGTATATTAACTGTCATTTACGACTTTTAACATTGTGTACCACAAGATACCACCCCGTACCAAGGTGGTATTGTATGGTAATGTGTGGTATTTTTTGATCCTGTAATTTGTTCAACCAGAAATTTGTAGATCCAATAGATCATGATGAACTCGTCCCTTCTGTGCAAACGTTTTAAAAAACGAATTAAAAACGAAGAAAATATCATATGGTATGCAGTTGGTACCAAGAGGCCAGAATTTTTTCTAAAAAAATATTGATAATTGATCTCATTTTGTAGAGCACGATGAACTCGTTCCATCTGTGCAAAAAAAAAAATTAAAATCCGAGTTAAAACGAAAAAGATATGAGCCGATTAAGAAAGATAGGGAAAATAAAAATTATCTTTAATTCTCCATCCTTAGATCTGGATTTTCTAAATGAAGGGTCCAGATTTGGTTATTGATGAGTGCATAACCCATGGCTATGCACCCTATCTTGAGCCTCTCCGGTGATAGGGGTGTTGGCAAGCAAATTAAAGTTGCAGAGAGAGGTACAAAATGATTGCAAACGTAAAATACATTGGTTTCATTAAGACGTAAAGAAAATAGATACTCAACGCTTTCGGTAAGTATAAGAGAGATCGATAATTTACAAGTTAAAAAACTGGTATATTTACAAGATCCGATTTGGGGGTGAAATGTAAGAGTTTTCCTAAAAATCTGAAATTGAACATGTTCATTGTTGAGCAATGCAAGAATGAGTGACCTCTCAAGAAGACACCCTGATATGTACTCCACGGCAAAAATCGTGCGGGTCTAGACCTAATGTTGACGATATTTTGGTTGTAAAAAAAGATCGGAATGTTAGAAATGATATCAGAGCCTCTCTACGTCGCTTTTGGGTGACGGTAGGGCTAACCTTAACGAGGAGCTGAGCCCTTGAGGGGGTTGTATGTAACACCTTAAAAGATTGCTCTGGCATGAAAGAGATTTCACATTATTATTTTTTTAATTATCATGTATTCGTATTAGTAAATAGGATATAAGGATAATACTCAGAATTACTTGTAACAATTCATTGTCATCCTCTTCGAAATACGAAGAGAGAAATCACTTTTAAAAATTTAGGATTTCGTTCCAACATGAATCCCATAAATCAAGTACGCATACAAATTCCCATTTCACAAGAACTGGCATTTTCATTATTGATGAAATTGTATTCAAAATAGCAAATGCAATTCCAATAACTTAAATCACAATACATAGCACCTATATATAGAAATTTTCTATCCTTATAGTTATTACAAACTAGTTTATATATAAAAAAAATTATTCAAACATCCAGTAGAAAAATATGTGATGATGATGATCTCAACATTGCAAATAACAGTCACATACTATGGTTACAAAACGACAGTCAGCAACAGCAGCCGTCCCAAGTTTTCTTTCACATTCCATTTGGCATTGATCATATATACATTCTCCCATTCCATATACGGTTGTTTTCCAACCGAAATTGAGTACCGCTCCGTCGTCTCTGCTCAACTGCCTTCCCCAGCAATTTCCTTCTGTGCAATCAACGTTAGATGCAGTAGGGTTAGTTCATCTTAAGCTAACGGCAACTTGAACTAATGGTAGATGCATGCAATGCAATCAAAATTGCACTTTAAAATTGAAAAGTTTACGCTTTTATACTTTTAAATCACTAAAATGAATCTACATATAATTACATTTTTTCCTTGTAGTTAAAATCTACGTTTTAAAACTTAAAAACTTATAATTTTACGCTTCCACATATAATCACGCTTTTGATTGCATTGGATGCATGAAAGAGAGAGTTAGGAATTTTATTACCAGAAATAAGGAGGAGAAGCAGAAAGATCAAGAGGGCATTAGTCGATCGAGTCTTCACATATTGGTGATCTCCTGTAACCTTGAAAATAAGACTTTCAATATTTAGAAGTGGAGCTATAAAGCTTACAGTATATAGTACCCAAGGATTAATATGTGAGATACATGTTTAATTGTGTGTATATATATAATATATCCCCAGTTAAGTCGCATTTATTGTTGTTCTCAATAGGTGCTTAATCAGCCATTTGAATTCGGATTCAATTAAGTGAACTAAGGCCCCGTTTAGTATTATTTTGTTGTTGTTGTGGTTGCAAGGGTGTTGTGTAAACATATGCACAACCACAACAAAAAAAAAACAGAAAATACAAACTTGTTTAGTTGATAAATTTAAAAATCAGAAAAGCTTACAACAAGAATAAAAAACGCGTTTAGTTACAAGAACTGAAAACTAGAAAGAGAGCTTGTTGCAGGGGAGGTGAAGATCGGCGACACTTGGGCTCGATGCAGGTCGACTGACGAGCGCTCCGGTCGAGGGACGAGCGGAAGAGAGCCGACGGCTGATCGCGATGGCGAGACAAGGCGGCGGTCACGATGGAGAGATCACAGCGGCGTTTGTTCGCAAGGCCAAGACGAGGCGACGACACGACTGTTTGCGAGGGCGAAGGTTGCAGGTCGCGAGGGAGAGGCGCTGCCGCCGTCGGCGCGCGGCTGGTTACGAGGAGAGATGAAGGCGTTGGCGACGATGAGGGATGACCGGCGACGATGAGGGATGATCGGCGACGATGATTTTTTACCGGGAATCGGTCTGCTGGTCGCCGGGGCGGGGGAGGATGAATGGGCGGCGATTGAGAGGAGATGAAGGGGCGGCGATTGCTGCTGGGCGGCTGGCGCGGCAACGGGAATCGGCGCCGGCTGCTGGTCGCTGGCGCGGCGACGTCTTCTGGTCACGGGCGGCAGGAGGCTGGCGATTGAGAGAAGCAGCTGCTGGTCGCTGTTTGGAACAAGAAGGAAGAGGGCTGGCGGCTCTGTTTGGAACAGGAAGGAAGAGTAGGGTTTGGGGCGGGTTAAGTGTAAAAAAAAAAAAATTGCTTAAGTGGGGATTCGAAAAGTGGGCTATTTTAATGAAATCAAGTGCCCAACCAGTTGGAATCCCGTGTGCAACATGTTTAAGAATCAGATCCAAAGCTATAAATTGTTGTTTCTCATATTTGGGCCTTGTTGTGCAACTCTGATTCACAACAAAAAATAAAAACCCAACTAAACACGTTTTTTTTTCTTGGTTTTCCAAATTTCTTAAAACACAATAGGAAAAAAAACGAGCAATAAGTTTCATCCGGAAAAAAGTTAAGCGAGGGGCCAATGGAAGTAAATATGAACCTTTTCAATTTGATGATAAAAGTATTTATGAGGAAGTAAGGGTGGTCGTTCGGTCGGTTCGGTTCAAATTGAACCGAACTAGTATATGCCGATATTCCGAAATTATCAATACCCCAATCAAATTCGAACCGAATTATATTTCGGTTCGATTTGTCCGAACCGAAATATAGCTCGGTTCGGTTTGGATTTTCCGTCAAACCCGAATTTATGAAGCATTGAAGAGTGAAGAGTGATGACTTCCCCCTTTTAATATGCTTTGCCTTCACCCATTATCTCGCTCTCTCTCCTCTTTTTTGCTCTGCTCCGCTTTTTCTCCCTCTCTCTAGCTATCTAACTCTGCATCTTTCTCATAATCAAATCTCCATTGCCAATAAGCAGAGCAACAAAATACTAGGAAATGCAAAGGTTGTTGCCTGAGGTTGGAGGCGGTGGAGAGAGTGTACTGAGTAGTGATTTCCCAGCTCGACCTAGTACTCCCGATAAAATCGAGAATTTTCCCTGCCTCTTTGTCCTTCCCAGCTCCCATAAAGCCCAACCCTCCCTAACTCTTCATTCTCCCCCAAATCGATTCGTCTCATCTCCCTCTATCCCCGACCATCGTCTCCTCTCCCCGACTCACCCAACCTCAACCATCTCATCCTCTACCTTCGACGGAGATTCAGCAATCTCCCCCAATCACCCCCAATCTCGTTGATTCTCTCTCACCGACTCACCGGCAGAGCCTACCGATGACACATGCACCGTCGGGGTCAGCAGAGGCCACCGATGACACATGCGCCACCGTGGGAAGCAAGAACAGATCCGGACTCCGTTTGATTCAACATTTGTTTGTGTTTTTGTTTGATTCTGATTTTTTTCTAGGTTTGCTAATCTGAGGTTTTGTTTTTTTTTTTTTTTTTTGTTGTTGTTGATTTTCTGGGTTTAAACTTTAAACATCGGGCGAGGACAAGTAAATGGAGAGTGGAAAGGGCGTGGGATGTTCAGAAAAGAAGAAGGAGAAGAATCCCATTGGAGAGTAGGGCTGATCGGCGAAAGGGTGGATATGAGAGATGAGCGGCTCTAAAGTTAATCCCTAGCTAATGCTTGTATCTTTTTTTTCCTAGGGTTAGGGACGGGTGGGCTGTGTAAGCGCTTAGAGGGTTGGACCGAGGCCCAGGGTCAGTTGTGGTAAGGGGTGAAGTCTGATATGTGGGCTGCATATATTAATTCGGTTGTTCGGTTCTGTGATCGGAATTCCGGTTCGGTCGAGAGGAACTTGGTTTCCGAAATACGCCTATCTTCATTCTGAATTCCGAACCGAGCAAAAATATTTTGGTTTTTGTTTAAATTCGGTTCAGATCGGTTCGGTTCGGTTTTACCGAACCGGATGCCCACCCCTATGAGGAAGGGTAGTAAGATACAAAATTATATACTGTAAAAATCACGAAAAATATCTATATAAATTTATCGTCGTCATTATATAACGATCCAAATTAGACACTCTGACGTGGAGGGGGCACAGACAGAGGCGGAGGCAGGGGTTCGGGCAGTGTCCCGTGACACCGGTACTTTTGGTAAAAAAAAACCCCAAATATGTAGAATTTAAGGATTGAACCCATGATCTCTAGGTTGATTAAAAGTACTTTACCACAAAACTACAAGCTTATTCTTGCTTAAAAGAAGGCACGGGTATTTTTGAATGAATTGTTTAGATATTAGTTTTAATTATATTAATTATTTATTTATATTATGAAAATAGGACATGAGCATTTTTGAATTCTGGCTCCGCCACTGGGTACAGAGGTAATTTTCTTCTTCTTTGACGGACACAAAAACTAATAGGAGAGAAGAGAGACTTTCGACTAGTCAAATGCTACCTTTTCTAATTCCTATTTTCTTAATCGGGCCACATCTCTTTCGTTTTAGCTCATAATTTAAGAAATTTGTATAGAAAAATGCACTGGTTAATATATGCACCATGATATCCATTTTACTATACTTTTACCAAAACAAAAAATTATCTCCTTAAAACATGTGTTGGTTGTAGTATTATCACTATCATATCGTGTGATATGATGACATATCTCTTTCATTTTAACTGATAATTATAAAATTATTTAAAAAGAACTCATTGATTATGATATACACAATGATATCCATTGTGAGAAAAAATATGTGTTTGTTGTCATCTCTCACTATCATTTGCATGCATATCAATATATTACCACTGTAGTAAGACAGACTATCATACCATTATTGTATCATGATATTATCATTGTGATAATATCATGGTGTGATAGAGGTATGATGACATTGATTTTTTTTTTTTTGCTAAAATATAGGATTTAATGTTATCTTATCACAGTCATACCAACATCAAATTACTATGATAAGGCTTCATAATATCATCTCATCGTGGTCATACCATGATCGTACAACTATAATATCATTGAGCAAAAAAACATGTGTTTGTTGTAATTTTCTCACATCATATTCTTACCATTGTGATAAACAAACAAAAAACCATCATACCGGTATCATATCATGATAATAATATTGTGGTAATATCGTGATATAATAGTGGTAATATGATATGAAAATTTTTTGTTCAAAAAGAATATCAAAATGGATATCATATTGTAGAGCACAAAAAATTGATAATTATACTCATTTTTTTTTAATCCAATATAAAACAAATGAGTTATGATTCGTTGAATATTCATAAGCGATTTGGCAACTGAAAATTTGTGCATACCCAAAAAAATTGGACCAGCTGTCTTGTAACACCTTAGGCGAATCCCACATGGACTAAGCTCGGGAGAGATTCATGGTTCATAAGTAAGAAACCGACCTTAACTGTCAAGACGCGTTTTGGGGTGAATGTAAAAGTTCTTGTGAGAACTCCGAAGTTAAATGTGCTCAGTGTGGAGTACAACAAGGATGGGTGACCTTATGAGAAGTCATCTTGAATTGCACTCTAGTCAAAAACCGTGAGGGGTGAGACCCGAAGCAGACAATATCTTCGTCGGGAAAAGGTTTAGGACGTTACTCCCCAAATATAGGAAAAAAAGAGAAAGGAAACACACAATTTAAAATTGAGCCGCCTACACCAAATCAACTTGAACTTTAAATTCAAATGTTGACAAAACTACCTCTCCCCAATTAAGAGCATCCAGATTGGTATTTCATTCTCAATTGCAAAATGACATGGCATAGGTGTTTGCAATTGCAAACCAATTGCATTGATGTGGCTACCAATTGCATATTTGCAAGCTTGCAACAAATGCAATTCCATATGCAAGCCACAAAAGCCTACAAAAATAGGGATTTTATCATTTTTTATATTGTTTTATTCTCTCTTTTACTTAATTTTTATAATTTAAACATAATATTTAATTACATTTGCAATTGTAAGTTAATTGCATTGATGTAGGTGAATGAAATGAAGGTGATGTGGATTGCAAAAAATTTGAGTTGACAATAAAAAATACAAATGCAATTTCTTTTGTAATTGCATTGATGGAGATGCTCTAAGGAAAGAGAAAGGTAATGTCTTGAAGGTATAATCCTCTTCCCTAAAAAAATCAGTTTAGGGTTTGTTTCGTTTCTCTAATTGTTTTTTGAGATTGTTAATATGTTTGCGTTCTATAGAATGCATAATTTGTATGCATATACAATACATGTATTGTGTACGTGATGTAACAAAAAATCATTCAAAATTAATGTATATATGATCTCAGCTTTGATATGAAGTAA